TAAAGAAAATCAAGTCTTTAAAACTCTCGTTCTTCAGTCAATTAAAAAATAAAAACAAACAGGAGTTTTTCTGAATTACAACAGATTGATTTTTGTGTAAAGAAAAGATCAACCTCAGGGAAGTACTATCCAAACTCCCAATTATTAAATTCCTAAGGATATAAATCAAATGTTAGCCTGCTATTAGATAAAAAACAGATATAATGTTTTTGGTAAGGAGACAGTTATTTCATTCTAATAAATATTAAAGATGCTTCTAGTAGGAAAGAAATATAACTTTGTAGACACTAACTGAATGCCCTAATACCAATGATTCATCCTCCACGCTTGGATAAGTCAGTCTCTGGGACACTGGCTCCCTCAACCATAAAGATAAGGAGTTAAGTAAGATGGCCTCAATGGTCCCTCTAACTCCAAAAATCTATGGCTATGGAGGATGAACTCAGTAATTAAATTAAAACCAAAATATATCAGACAAAGCAACTAACTGAGGCTCTTTGTGATATGTATGGCTATAATGCAAAAAAATACAAAGGAAATAGGTGTGAGGCCACTATAGTTATCAGGGATAAGAAGTCCTCCAAGCTTACTTACTCCTTTTATACTCTACTTTTCTAGTTCTCATCCCTAATCTCTACCATAAACAAGTACTTAACATGGAGAATTTGTCATTTTTAATCTAGGAATAACCAAGCAAGCAAATTTCCACTTCTAAATTCCATTATATAGTGGGAAAATCTAGGCCTACCTTTTTTTAGTGAAAAAAAAGTTGTATTTTGGGAATTTTATGTTTATGTAAAAAGTGTTTAAATAAGTATGACACCAAAGTCAGCAGAGAAGCTATAACTAGACAAATTGAGGAAAGATTAACTATCATAGTTAAAGTATGCGGAATTAAAGAATGAAATTAAAAAAAAACATTGAAAATGTAATTTTCTTCATTCTGTTTTTCTTTAAGCTGTTTATTTCATACATATATAACATTTTATTCTCCAAGTTTTTTCTTTGCTCCACATCTGTTATCTGACATTAACTTCACAAATCTAAACAAGGAATCAAAAGCAATAGTTTAAAGAAAAGGAATAGAACAAACCAATGTGGTTTGGATTCACACAGATTTTACTTTCACCCTGGGATTTGTTCATATGTCATTTTTAAAGGTAAAATTAATTAATCTACACAACTGTTTAAAACCTAAAATCCTTCACAGCAATAACTGTTAGTTCAAGGTTATTCGCAGATGGGCAATTTAAAACTTAGAAATATTTGCGCAAAAACAAAAAGCTTCATGTAATGTATTCACTTCATGTAATGGGATCTTAGAAACTTGGTTTTACTTGGTTAAAGAGGTTTTTTGAAGGGTCAATAATATAAACAAAAAAGCAAAAGCATTTGGAAAGCAAAAGCATTTGGAAAGTGAAACCCTCAGTATGGCATTTCATACATAAGACATAAGAGGCCAAATTTCTAGGGTATAAACACTATCTGATATAAAAAGAATATATTTACTTTCAAATCACTTTCACACCCTGATAGTTGACAGAAGGCAAATGTTTTAAATAAAACCACCTGGTAAACAAAAATCAAGAATGCTCATAACTATAGTCAAGGTACTTAAACTATTCGATCTCAATAATGAGACTAAAACTTACTCTCTAAATCTTTTGCTGTGGATTTTGGTTATTGTTGAAGATGCCATTGGACTGCCTATCCCAGAACTAGCTGGAGAGCCTTGTGACACAGGTGTCATACAGTACGGAGAATTCTGACTTGCTGGGGAGAGTGAAGTATCACTGGGCATGCTCAGTCCAGTATCTGTGGAGATGTGGGGTGAGGAGAAAAAATTTAAAACTTCAAATACTAAAAAGCTCTATATTAATCAACACAATTTAGAATGGCAGTTCTCTTTTGTATCACTTCCAAATTCTCCAGAAGCTAACAAGTTGGACATTGGTCATATCACAAATAAACATTTCTCATACACTATAAAAATAAAGTCTTCCTACTATCTCTTAAAATATACTCTTAAAAATCAAGCACAGCCTACATGTCTCCACAGAAGAGACTTGTATTATCTAAAACATGTATTCCTAGAAGATTTAAATGGAAGAACAAAGCTATTAACTTCTATATGCGAAAATATTACTCATCTCCTTTATCTCCATTTTTCCACCTTACAAACTATTTTTTTAATAATTTGCTGCTGACAGTGATGAATTCTACCTCACTCATTCTCTCTATACCACTCCTGATTCTCCAGGCACCACCCCAGCTTCTCTCATTTGGTCTTTACTTCTGTGCTCAGGAAGCTGCAGTTTGAATTGCCATTTCTTAACTGCCTCCTTCAGTTACTGTTTCTTTCCTAAACAGCTAAACTCAGGAAATGAGTTAGTATTTTTATATCCAAGCCATTAATTAGCAAAAGTTACATATATAGCCTCTTATCTCCCTGCCGGATTATAAGCTTTTTGCAGCAGGACCAGTCAACTATTTATCTTTATTAATTTCCTGACTTTCCCACTCCCACTCCAAATTACCAAAGTACGCATGGTAGATGTTCAATAAACACCTTCTGAATGAACAGATGGATAAATACACCTAAATACAAATACAATGATATTTAACTAAGAGTAAAGGGGAATCTTAACTAAAAATGTCCTAGCTGAACAATCCTTAGAAGTAAACTCATTTTTCAAAACACAGAACACTGCTACTTAATCTACATATAAATCAGATTTAAATGTATTTTTTTTTTTTAAGTTGAGGAATAAATATATGCCAGCAGAATAAGGGACCTAGCCAAGTCTTTCTTAAAATCTTTCTTCCACGGTAGGATATTATAAGGATGCTATGGTTTTGCTGAGGTCCCAACTAGAATCACATGTGCTGGCTGCTGTACGGGACTCAATCTTACTGACAGACTGGACTCTGCACTACAACGAGCTTTGCAATTCCCTACTGACGAGTCATACGTATTAATTATGTGAAAGTGAGAAAGAAAATTAAAACAACTCGAAAATTAGCCTGAGAAGAAAGAGGGCAAACACTGTTCTAGATATAAAAGAAGACAAATGAAAAGAGCTGCGACGGTTAGAGGATGCACTGGTGAGATCATCATCATGAGGGTTTACCATAAATTCAGGATTTCAGTCTCAAAAATGCCATCGACCTATCATGTAACACACTGCCATCCCTCCTTTTAAATATCTCCCCACAGAATTATCTTCCAAAAAAACCATTTGCAAAAAGAAAGAAATTTAGATAAAATATAGAGCATATCCTCCAATTAGGAGAATAACTACCTATCAATTAAAATACTCTAAACCATTCCATGAGAAGGGGGAAAGGGGTGATCTTACCTTCCTGGGAAACAATCTCCTGTGGCAAATCATCAATAAAATCTAAGTGCATTTCTACTGGTTCCTCAGATCCCAAAAGATTGTGGTCCACAGTTAAACGGCCCTTCTTTTCCTCTCTTTCTTTCAAAATAACCTAAAAGTCATTACCAGTCTTTAATTACCGATCACTCTTTATGTACTGAATGATTAAAATGTTCACTATTACAAAGGTACAGCAATTCACATAAAAATGGACATGAGGATTTTGGTTGGCTACGTGTTTAGCTGGCTATGTGTTTCGCCCGCTAAATAGAAACTGATTGGCAAAAGGTAAATGTAATTTTATGCACTGAAGCTGAAGGACGTACAAAACCAAAATAAAGGGAGGTAATTATGCTATATAATACTACAGCTATAAAATATCTGCTACATCCTTTAAATTCTGGTTGACAAACCAGAGTTTCTCTGAAAATGGATAAAATAAAAGTTTCAAAACCAGGTCATATAGTTACATTAGATTTACATTTTGTAGTTTTCAACTATTTAGAGATGGATTATCTCATTCTGCTCCTCCTTACAACAATACTGAGTTAACACAAAGCAGATATTACCCCTGACTTACAAATGAAGAAGATGAGGGTAAGGAAGGTTTGCTAAATAAAACTACATAATAAGCACTGAAATTAGTATTAGAATCTAAGGCTTCTGAATCCTAGGGTCCAATGTTTTTGGATGCTAACTTCTTAAGAATTCTTTCTACAATAGTTCATCCTCCAGGGCCTTACTCAACGCAGAAAGATAGTCATGATGCTGACGATATCCCCAAACCTGAATTAGCTAGTCGCTGTCTTTTTGCTGCCTAGTAACACTCTGCAATAATCTGTTGGCTAAAATGCTACAATTGCTTTTGCAAAATCTAAAGCCTTCTTTACCTTGTAAAATAAACATCCCAGATTTTGATTTACCTTTTTAAGTGCTGTGGGCCGTTTTAGTTTTGCAATTTCCTTCTCTTTTCCTTTTTTTGCTTTAGAGGAAGTAACATCCAAAGAATTAAAGGATGTCAAACAGGGCTGACTTTTGGTTAAAGGTTTTCTGTTAGTAGAGTCTTTAGTGTGAAAAGAAGCTGCAGTGACCACTAAAAACAAACAAGAACATTAGTTTTATTATTATGGCCAACTCCACATACTTTTAAATTTTCTAATAAATCTACAAAAATAAGAACATCTTCTAGAGGAAAAAGAGACATCAAATTGTTGGAGCAGTACACAGCTGTGCAGTGTCCCCTCAGACACAGCTTTCATCCATTTTTTTAGCCTCCATAAGATAAAGAAGACAAAAACCAATGCAATTAACTAATTTAGCAATCCAAGGTAGGGATATATAAATTATTGGTACTATTCTACCGCAAGCAACCCTCAAGCATGGCAATTCCTTGGAAGTGGTCTCCAATCAGAACCAGACTCCCTCTACAATTTCAAAGCTCTACACCTCTCCTGATTTCTATTGAATCTTATATAAGAATCTCTCTTATTTGTAATCCATCACTTCTCTCCACATTTCGGTCTGTCAAGAATGATAATTTCCCCCCCTCGGCTGCAGTCTCAGTACTATTAAGCAATTCTTTTATGCCTGATTGATACTCTCATTCTCCAGTGGCTACCCCCAAATCCGTCAGCAGTCCCAAACCTCTAATCTCAATTTCACTCCAGCGGAAAAGCTTTTCCTGCTACTTCCCTGAGAAGATGCTATCCAATACAAATTTACAAGCCACCCGAGAAGAGGCAGCAGGCATCCTTACACCTGTCCACGGCTCACCAACCACCCCATTTCAGGATTAATTAAGTCCTTGAAGACCTTGTTCTATTCCTTCCCCCTTGCAGCGTTCAAGTTCCTCCTTAACACCCAGACTCTTTTTTTCCCTAACTCCCAAAGAGAAGATAAAATCTTTTCTATTTAAAAGAAAGGAAAAAAAAAAAAAATCAATAAAACCCTTCCCTTGACTGCCTTCCCCTCAGCTAAGGTACCATTACTCCCCTTCTCTTCCTTGTTAAAATTATGAATAGTCTGCTTTTTCATCATCAATAATTCCCAGATCATTACAATCTGGCCTCCGCCCTATCCACTCTCTTGAAACTGCTCCTGTCAAGATCACATGTAACCTCGCCATTGTCAAATCTAATTCTCTGAGTCTTTCTTCTTTTCTTTTCTTTTTTTTTTTTTTCAGTATTTGGTACCAAAGACCACATCCTCTTCCTCACAATTCTATCCTCGCCTTCTGTGACACTGCACTCTTCTGTTTTTTTTCTCAAACCTATTTTTCTAGTTTTTTTTTCCTTTTATTCTTTAAATCTGAGCATTCCATAAGGCTTTACCCCTAAACATCTTTTTCCTAATTTGTCTTCCCCTCAACAATCTTACATATTTCCATAGCAACAACAATCATCTCTATCTGAAACTCACTGGCTTCTAACCTAAACTGCACATACATAACTATAAATTAAAGGAACCATCAGCATCTCCCTAACTAGCATTTCAAATACAACACAACCAGAGTCTGTTCTTTCCAACGAAATTCTTCTTCCATGACCCTTATTTTGTTAGGTATCATCACAGCCCTTACCACCACCACAATCTTTCAAGTCAGAGAGTTTAGAGTCATCTTTGACCTGTTTCCACATTCTATCAGTGGAAAAAGAAAAAAGAAAGAAGACAAAACCTTATTAATTTTTTACAATCTTCTCACATCTCTACCATCATCTCATCTTTTTGTTGGATTTCCCAAGAAAGCTGACGTCTTTACAACCAACGCTTTCCAATTTAAGTACTGGTGATAGGTTAGAGGTTAATTTCATTTCTATCTGTCAAGAAGAATACTACTCTCCCTTCAAAGCCCAGTCAAACTGCTATCATGTATGAAGTCATTTGTGACATCCTCCACATATCTCCCTGTTGACATAAATCATTCCCTCTTCTACAGGTTCATAAAACCATTGGTATCTTTCCTAAGGCACTATGTTATATTAGTTATTTGTGTATGTCTTTCTCCCCGACTAGAATATAAACTTCTTTCCACAGGTATATATCTTAATCATAGCTGTAATCTCACAGTTCTTGACACCATGCTTTGCATGGAATATTTATATTTGCATGTATTAACATTTGCTACATGAATCAAACTTGTAATAGTCATTTGAAGTATCACAGGTTAACAATCTCCTCCATAATAATTAGTCAACATTTATTGCATGATTATAACCCCGACACTCTGCTAAGCACTTTACACCTCATTTATTCCTCAAAATAATCCTGAAGCAGGTATTACTATCATTACCTCCATTTTAATGTGAGGAAATTGAAGCACAGGAAGATTAAATAACTTGTCAAGGAAACAGATGAAAGAACAGGATTCAAATTCAGGAAGCTCAACTCCAGAGTCCCTGCTTAGAGCCACTAGGCCATAATGCCTCCACAATACTGCTCCCAGTTCTATTCCCTAGAGTCCTTTACGCTTAGTGAGATGTTACTGCCACTTTCTCCACCTCAACAACATGCAATTCTAAAGCTTATTAGCAGGCATTCAATATTATTTTTACTAACAGTTACTCAAAGCTAAGTTTCAAACTGGATGGATTACTAACTATAGATTTAAACATTTTGCACATAAAATTAAAGTTATACACTATTACTCATCTTTTAATCTAAAAACAACAGACCCTTTACAAAAAAAAAAAAAAAAAAACACCACAAAACAGAAAATGCAAACTTGCCTCTCAATATCAGTGCTTTTTGTTCAGTGCCTTTACCTTCTCTTTATTTTATTCCTTATCCTTTAAAACAGACTATCGAATGAAATGAAGAGACCACATCAGAACTGCTGAGCTCTAAATTTGACAGTTTGCTAAAATATAAATTACCGTTTCAGTAAAAAGCCAGATCCTTCTCCCCTCTCCCTTCTCCTTCTCCCTTTCACATACACACACACATACGCACATGTATGTTTGCTCAAAACACCTGTTTCCCACTTGGTTTTAGATTGGATAATGTAACAGCTCTAGAGACAAATTACTTATGGTTCTTAAACTTTTGAAGAAAAAAATTTGGTTGGTTCAAAATGTACACCAATTGACATTTGAACAGAGAAACTTGAAGGATCTGAGGGAACAATCTATATATTGTTATTTAAGGAAATAGAGGTCCAGGAAAAAGAAATAACAAGCACAAAGATACTGAGCTAGGAGCATGCTGGGTGTGTCTGTGGGACAGCGAGAGGGCTAACATGACTAGAACAGTGTGTGCCAGGAAAGAATGGCGATGAGGGATAAAAAGGTAACAGGATCAGCTAAGAGATGGCCTTAGCAGGACTCTGGCTTTACTCCAAGTGACAAGAAAAGTTACTGGAGGGTTCTGAGCTGTGGAGGGATATAATCCAGCTTGTATTTAAAAATATAACTCCTTAAAATAAACTGGAGCTGGGGAAGGACAGTTTAACAGGAGGCTACTATAACGTAGCACAATGATGGGGGCTACTAGCGTAACAGGAGAGGAGCTGGTGAGCAGACTCTGGATTTATTTTACATTTATATAATTTAGATTAACAACATGCAAAGTATATTAGCAAAGCCAAAGAGCGAACTGCTCAGACCAACGACATCACCTGTACAGGGCAGAGGCCTGGTATTAGTAATTTGCCGCGCTTTCATCGCCTGCTGTTGTTTTTCCAGAGCTGCTAACATGTCCCCCAAATCTAGCTGCACAGGTGTCTTATTTTTTTTTCCTGCTGCCTTCGATAAAGCTTCCTGCAAGGTAAACAGGAAAACATTTATTTTTTGTTTTAGTATGAAAAGTGTGGCAATTTAAGATGATATATAATCAAATACAGTCACTCTTTCTGTCCATCCCCCTAAACGTACCAAGTAAATTATTACATTTGTTCATAAAAATGCATATACCTGTAATTTTTTTTGCTCCATACTTATTTCTGAATATTCTTGAGCCGTGGCAAGGGCCGCTGCTAAAGCCTTCTTCTTTTGACTTTTTGCACGTTTAGGAACTGAAGTTGTAATGGGAATTGGAGTCTGAACTATATTGATTGGTGAGTTTTCAGGTAAGTCATCCAACTATGATAACCAGAGAAAAACATTTATCAGTAATTCCATCAAAGTCGAATCATAAAGAAAGACAAAACAGAATGTGGGATGTTCTACTTCAGAGAGCCCCAATCCCTGGGCTGTGGACTGGTACTGGTCCTGGCCTGTTAGGAACCAGGACACCCAGCGGGAGGTAAGCGGTGGGTGAGCAGGTGAAGTTTTATCTATATTTGCAGCCATTCCCCAGTACTAGCAGCACTGCCTCAGCTCCACCTCCGATCATCATGCATTAGATTCTCATAGGAGCACCTGTCCATGGGGCCAAAAAGATTGAGGACCACTGTTCTACAGTGTAACTGGACTAAACTCTTCAAAGGATTCACTGTCATAAAGAAAAGAGTGAGACAGTGAGACCATTCTAGACTGGGAAATAATAGAGAAAACAGTTTAATGCAATAGGTGATGTCTGCACTCAGGCCTGAAAATAAAATAAAATAACTCCAAAATAAAGTTCTATGACAACTGGTAAAGTTTCAGTATGAAGTATATATTGTGTGATGTCATTTAATTAATGCTATTTTCGTGTCTATATTGAAACTATGAATTTCAAATGAAAGTGTCTTTGTTCTAGCTTTGCTGAAAAGAAATATTTAAGTACTAAATACACTGTTTCTTCTATACCAGGCTGTACCTATATATCTTTTCAACATAGCTATAGTTCAACAGATGTTCAAATATTTTGCTTATATTTTTAAAAAGTCACTTACTACTTTTGAAGAAAGTTTCTGTTGAATATTCTCATCTTTAGCTTTTCCATTCTCATTTAGTTCTCGAAATCCATCTTCATCCTAAAATAGTTTCACATTTTAAGTAAAAATAGAGTTCAAAGAAATAAACTCTTAAGAAAAAATTTTTATAATGCTAAAGAGTAATGTAAAATGGGGAAGTAGCTTTTATAGTTCTAATATTAAACTATTTAAAGTCAGTCTTAAAAAGGAAAGATCACTTCTCACATGCTAAAACACAGCTTATTTAACTGTTCAAAAATAATGGTATATCCACACATCAATCCTTTGTATTACTGCATGCCCTATTCAATTTTTATTAATAAATTATACTCTAATAGAAAAGAAATTAAAAAAATGATTTTATCGCATTTCAGATAATTTGGAAAAAAAGATTTTTAAAAAGATGGCTTAAAATGCATTTTGCTAATATAGTCCACATCCTGCATTACTATACACACCGGTCAGTAAGATTAAAAGTTAAAAAAAAAATCTTAATCGAAGTAATTTCTTAACCAATATCCTCCTTTACGTCGAAAATTAAATCTAATATCTTTTTCTAAATGTAATATGGAACCAATCATATGGGTAGTGCAAATAATAAATCTGCTACATGTATTGTTCTTAATAGAATAACTAAGATGCACTCTTGAGTCTTTTAGGTCAATCATTAAGATTATCTAATATATATCTCTAGCCTCTGGGCTCAAACACATTTTCCAGTTTAATCTCCACCTATTAACCTATTACACAGAAACTATGATCCAACAAAAATGAGTTGCTCAAATTAGTTACCTAGAATGTTGTTCACCATAGTGACACAAACAAATACTACTCATCTTTAAAATCTATTCCAAATGTTATTCCTACTCAGCCCCAAATCCAAAGGGACTTGTCTCTCCTTTCAACTCCAACCTTACTCAAGAAAGTACTTAGGAGTATACATGTCTGCATTCCTCTACTACATAGCAACCTCCCTAAGGGTCATATGTTTACTCACCTTAATGCATCATTCAGACCACCTTACTTTACACATATAAACAGGCCTCTAACAAGAGTCAGTTAGATGAATAAACAGAAACACTGCAATTCGAACATAAACTTGCCTGCCTGTTAAAGAGTCTCCTTGCTAGCAGCACAAATTTAGACTGAACTATTCAAATCTGAAAAACTTGACAAATAGACTGAACAACAATAACAAAAACTATGGAAAAAGTTTTATACGAGGTGAAATCCATATAATACCAAGTTCTAACCTCTACATGTTACTTCAAAATGATGAATATTCATGACAAAAATGTATTAAAGTAAAACTAATGAAGACTAACTGTATATAACCAAGACAAAAATGAGTCAATACTTCTAATTTATGTACTAATAGTAGAGTCACATGTCTCAACATAAAAAGTACTTACCACAATGTAAGAAAATTAATTTCTTAATTTTTATAACATTTGTTATAACAGTTTACAAAAAGAGCTTAAAAAAATACCTCAAAATATAAAGACTCAGAATTTGAGTCGCCTCTATGAGAGTGACTGGGGTTTAACTGCTTATTATCTTGTCTCTTTTGCAAATTCTGTCTTCTTTCTGAGGAAGTACTATGTCCTCGGCATCTGAATCCAACCTAAGCAAACCCCAGGGCGGGTAGGGAAGAGAAAACATGTCTAATTACTTTTAAGTAAATGTTTTATTGAAGTTTAACATATTTAGAGAAAAGTATACAAAAGTATACAATGCAATAAATTTTCATAAAAGTGCATCATTTATCATAAAAGTTTAAAACTTTTAAGAAATAAGGTCATAGAGAAAGTATGAAAAGTAGTACTAGTGCATGTTACTTTACTACCCTGTACATGAACATTTGTATCAGCTTTATTCGTAATAGCTAAAAACTGGAAACAATCCAGGTGTCTTTTACTGAGAGAAGAGTTAAACTCACTGTAATACATCTATGCTATGAAAACGGTAGTTAGCCACAAAAAAAAGAATGAACTATTGAAATACCCAACAACCTGGATAAATCTCCAGAATTATGCAAGTGAAAGTCAATCCTAAAAGGACTATATGAGTTCATTTATAAGACATTCTTGAAATGAAAAAATGATAGCAAGGGGGAACATATTAGTGGATTTTAGTGGATTTTAGGAGAGGCTGGAGGGGAAGAAAAGAAGTGTGGTTATAAAAGGGCAATATGAGGGATCCAGTTCTGTATCTTGACTGTATCAATGTCAATATCTGAATTGTGTTATTCTATAATAGTTTTTGCAAAATGTTACTCTTGGGAGAAACTGCACATTACCCTTTTTATCAAACTATTATAAATCTTCCAAAATCTGTAGATTTAAAAAAAAAATCCTAATAGATTAAAAATTAAAAATCTTATTTCTAAGAAAATGGGTTTAAGAGAATAAAATCTTCAGTCAATCACATAAATTATTATTAGCTTACTAATAAATTTATAAAATGTTTAATTGCCCTGGGACAAGAAAAAAAGACATGAAGCATTTCAAGAATCATCACACCAGACTTTTTCCTCCTTTCTGGTACCTAATCTTCAGTCAATCACATAAATTATTATTAGCTTACTAATAAATTTATAAAATGTTTAATTGCCCTGGGACAAGAAAAAAACACATGAAGCATTTCAAGAATCTTAAGACAATTTAAGTTCTCCCTCTTCAGTACCCATTGCAGCTAATATGAAATGCCTCTCTGAACCAGAATGCTTAGAAGACTTGAAGTATGATCTTCACTATCAGTTACCCCAAAATTCTAAAAACAAACAAAACTTGAAGCAGACCTAGATGGAAGGTGCTGGTATATAGGCTCTGTACTTTGAAATCAAAAATATGTATACAAAAGACTGGAATCATCTAGCAATTCCCATGCTAAGCAACTGGTCTAAAAGATTTGCTGTTCAACAGAATTTTTGTACTCTTTTGGGAAACAGGCTGTATGACAGAACTCCAGGTCAAGAGGATAGTGACACAGAAAACTTAATTCTTCCTTAGAATATGCACTATGATGCCTGGGCTACTTCCTATAACCTATAAACACCTGCTAAGAAATTAGATAATTTCTCAGATATCCAAGAATTTCTCGGTTTTAAATATTTACCTCATCTTAAAATAGGCTCATGAACATGAACGAGAGATGGAAAAAGGAATACCTATGTGACGAACCAAATTTCAGTAAAATTGTAGAAAGCAACTACCTGATAGAATGTTCCCTGTAAAATTATTTCAACTTAATGTCTCTTTACAAATTTTCATAATAAACTATTTTTTAAATTGGCTCATGAAAATAAGTAAAACAAATGCAATTTGTAATTCACATAAACACTGAAATTAGTACTAATAATTAAGCCCCAAGGTAGGAATAAAAAGCAAGAGAATAACTCATGCGTATAACTCATTTTTTTGTATAGTCCTTACCCCCCAAAATAAGTGCAAATCTGTCCTCCTAACAGCATTACAATTACATAAAAAAGCCCTCTTGTAAACCAGTTAGTATATAAGTACCAATGTGGTTGTAAATACTAAACCAATTGAAAATTGAAAAAAAAAAATGCAACTTGATTCTTACACTTGGAGACATAAAGTTCCAGAATTAAAGTAAAACCATCAAACTAATTGGTCCCAACAAAGTTCATGAAGACCAAACGTAAAAGTATTTCAATTACCTCCTGGAATAAATGACCTCATTGTTTTTTTAGTTCTTCTAAGAAAAAGAGTTTTGTTGCTAGAAAGTGCGCATACAAAACAGAACAAAGCAGAAACCACAACCTCAAATGTATATTAAGATTCTTAAATGGCTAACACAAAAGTAATACTAAAAGACTGAAGTTTTCATGCCCGATATACACGACAAAAAAGAAAAAATACTAGGAATTGACATGAGGAATATATACAAATTTATTTTCAGAAAACTACAAAATATTTCTGAAGAACACAGAAGAATGACTCAAAAATAGGAAGACATACTGTTTTTTTACACAGAAAGATGCCACACATCATAAGGGTAATCCATTCTCCCTGAGTTGACAGATTAGTGATCAATGGAACAAAACAGAAGGTGCACAACAGATTTCAATATATATAAAAATAACTTAATAGGTGATAAAGGTGTTTATCTCAAATTAGTAAAGAGATGAATTTTTAAATAAACGGTGTTGGGAGATTTGGGTAGCCACCTGGAAAATATAAAGTAAGACCCATATCTCACACCATCCGCCAGGACAAACTCCGAATGAAATAAAGATTTAAATGCAAAAAAATGAGACCATTAATACACTAGAGGAAAACAGCAAATTCTTTCATAACCCTGGAGTAGGGACATGGCTTGTCTAACTATGATTTAAAACCCAGAAGCCATTTTAAAAAGCAAAAACAAAGTCAAGGATATAATATATATTCTTATAAAAATAAATTTCTTAATGCTATTTAAAACATAAAGTAACTTATGCATGGTAATAATAATGAACAAAGTCAAAAATTAAAAGAAAAACCTAGCAAAATATTTACAACTGATATTACAAACTAAAGGCGCCCAAAATTTTTAAAGAACCTGATCAAAATAATTAGAAAAATGTACAAAAGATCAAGATACAGAAAATGAGTATAGGATATGATCAGACAAATTCACAGAAAAATACAATGGCCCTTAAACATATGAAAAGATGTTCAACTACATTGATACACATTTTAACCTAACTGGTGCAAATCTAAAATCCTAAAAACATGTGATTTCTTAGGCTATACAGAAATATCCACTCTCTACACTACTGTTGAGAATGTAAAACGGTACAATCTGGTGATATTTACTGAATAACAAAGATGACTTTATCTTTTCACCCAGCAGTCCCTTATTTAGAAATTTATTCTACTGATATACATACACACATTTCTAAATGACACTGTAGCATGTATAACAGCAAGTTTTCAAATGACTCAAGTGTCCATCACTAAAACTACACAAATCAATGATATATCCATATTCAATAGGAGTTGTTTTTTTTAAAAAGTAAGGAAGCCCTCTATGTAATAATACGGAAATGTCTCCAAGATACATTGTTAAGTGATGAAAGCAGAGCACAGAGTGGATAAAACATAAGATACATACTTGTATTTATCTATAATTATATGAAATTCTGGAAAAGTACGTAAGAAATTAGTCAAAGCAGAATAGATATAGGGCAAAGATAAAGGGAATAGGAGAAGACAAGGGGGGACGGGTGAAAATGAGATTTTGTATAACCCTTTCCATCTCTTTTATTTTACAACCTATTCACAAAACAAAACCATTTTTAAAAAACTTAAGTTTTTAGACTCTCTCCATCATTTAAAATTAAAGTTTTATCGGAGTATAGAAAGAATCTGCCTTTTCAAATATTAAAACACTGGTAAAAATACTAAAAATCACTGCATAATACAGTAGTTAAAATAGCATGGTAAAGGTACAAATTTCTATTAACTGGAACAAAAACAGCCTAGAAAGAACATCTAAGACATAAGAAATCGACATCATTATGTTGTACCATGCATCAAAATCAATCTCAAATGGAAGTCTTGAAACATTACGATATAAAAAAGCAGAACATACAAGTGAATATTTGATTTCTAAAAGACTTTTAAACCTAAAAATAATTGTAAATTGCAAAAGGGGAAAATATTTTGACTTAAAAAAGATTCTGCACGTCAAAAATCAAACAAATACAAGCTTAAGAAAAGTATAACAAAGCATCAGAAGTAGAAAACAAACTGGCTCTAGTTCTTTTGGAATGAAGATACAAAATAAACAAAACTTAACATACTACATGTATTTTCATAATTTTCTTTTTTGCTGTTGTTCTTTTACCATTTCCCACCAGTTTTGAAGTAGAGAGAAAATGTTTTTCCATATAAGTGTTATTCTCTCTTCAGCAGGCTACTGATACCAAATAGTTAACAGCACTGAGGATGCAAACTTCACAGGTCACACATTTACAATTTCAACATAAAATTTCATCACTTAACTGAACATTTTGTAGATTTTGTTTATCTAAACAATTCTTGTTTTGGTTCTTTTGTTTTTAATCAAATAAAGCTAGACTGCCTCACAAGCCTGCCACAAACAATTGATTTTTGCAGTAACCATAGGGAAGAGGGCATTATTCTGCTTGTTTTCCTGATACTTCATTTTAGAGAGGCAAAGGAACAGGCAAGTCTATTTAATCCGTTAGTAATTTACTCTTATTTCAGTTCTTCCACAGATCTATTCATATGACTTTAATTCCTTAACTAGATTTAAGGAATCCAGGAAGTCTATCTAAAAAGTTAAAAAGGAAAAATACTGACCAATAAACAAGTGTCTGATTTCATAGACAACCAATGCAGGAAGACAGTTTGTGGAAGTCTGTGGCAGTATATAGCTTACTCTGCTGTACTGCAGCTAGATCTTGCTCTCTAAGACCAGGCTGCCCAGACTGGCCACACTATGGCAGGAGGCAGTCATCACTATGGCACAGCAATAAGCAGAGTGTGGCTTGTGTTTATAGTCAAGTAAAATCACATGGACAAGACTGCAGTCCTGAAGTTCAAAGAATCAATATTTAAGGCATTAAAATGCTTTTAATTGTTTTATATAGATAAGTCTGCAGGTGAACCAGGATTGGAGGGTATTCTATTTTAAAATTATGAAATAGCCAAATATATTCCTTAAATATAGGAAAGTAGAAAATGGTACAAAATGCACCCATATATACACCACCTACTTTCAACATTTTTGCCATTTTGTTTCGTTACTTTAATAATTTTATTGGCTAAACCATTTGAAAGTTACAGATATATCTTACTTTTAAATAATTCAATATGAATCACAAAAATTAAGGACACTTCTCTTCAAAACCCCTATATCATTTATAATACTTCATCTTACATTAACCAAATTTCTCCAACCTAATTCAAATTACCTGTGAATTATTTCTTTGTTCAGTCTGCCTTCCACCTCTGGAAAATGTCTGATTTTTTTCCATCCAAGGTTTTTTCTGAGTTGCCTGGCAAGTTACATTAGACCAATTTACACCACCTGTAACAACCGAGATTTAAAAATATATTCACTTATAAAAGATGCCAAAACCTATACTGCCCTCTAAATTCATGTAATGAAATTCAGTCACTATAAATGTAATAATGGAAATTATAAACTTTAAGTGGTATTCCAGTTCTTAGTAATACAGGTGTCATCTGCAGAATATCTCTGACTGGCATTTTCTCAAATTTTATCAGCAAAACTAAACTTTCAAATTAACTTAAATCTCTTCGGACTATTTCTCATTTTTTTCGCAGCATCAGTAAGCATGATGCTTAAAAGCAAAACTTTGACATGGACAAAGAACAGAGTATAGCAGAAATACTTAGCAGAAAAATAAGTACCTGCACATATAGATGATTCCACATGCTAAAAATAGAAACAAAAAAGACAATTATGCTCCACTTAGAAACACCATATGCCCTACAAAACATTTCATAAACTAGTCTAATATGAAGCACGCTTATTACAATCTTAGAAAAAATATTCTCCATAAATGAATATTTTTCATATTAGTACACAAAATATATTTGTAACCATCCTATTATAGAAATTACTAATGAAAACAGATACTCAAGTTTTAGCAGAGGACACAGAATAATACTGACACAGATGACTGATAAATCAAAGCAATGTTACATACATTCACGTTGCTAGAATCAGGATTTCGCAAAGCCCCTGCTATGGGCTGGTTGTTGCTGTGTTTGGGACTGCAGTAGCCACTATCACTGTCAATGTCGGCTTCACTAGCCCCTTGCTCACTAGAGGATTCAGCAGTAGGGTGGGATGCTCTTCTCCTCCTGCCTTTGGACTTCCAGAGCATTGTGGCAGAGCTCTCGGAGAGAGACTTGTTAGCGATGTCTGACGGGAAATCTCCAAGGCAAAGAAAGTGTGACAATTCTTTGTGAGAACCAAGTTGATAAATTCTTGTTATATTATCATTAAGGGTCTAAGAAAATAAAGATATCTAACTTTGTAAACAGTGAAAACTTTTTGAAAAGAGCATCAAATGTAAGATATTTCTGACAAGTTGGTTTATAACACGTTTATTATAAAAAGAAAAAAAATCGGCACATAGTATATTAAAAGCCCCATTACCTATTTAAGAAACAGAACACCACCAATCCTTTAAGTACACCGCACGTCCCCGCCCCGCCCCGCCCCGCCCCCATCGTTGCATCCTCTTCCCTCCTCTGGTAACCTCTATTCTGAATTCTGTTTATCATTCCCTCACTTTTAAAAATAGATGTACTACGAATTTTGGTATTCTTAAAATATAAATCATGTAATTTTGCATTTTTAACTTTATAAAAATTAAAACATACTTTTTCTGTGATTTGCCTCCTACTCCACCACCCCCTCAACATTGATTCTGATGCATATGGCTATAATTCATTAATGTCACTGGAATCTAGAATGCCTATGTATGATTATACCATAATGTGTTTACCCTTTGTACCATGGATGACACACTTGGGTTGGTTTGGGACTGTACTATTATTAAGAATAATACTGCTGTAAGCATTCTTATACAGACATACATGAACGTATATATGTGCACATGAAAGTTTCTCTAAGGTAAACAATGTTGAGGCCTTAGGAGATACATATATTCAACTTTACATGGTAATGCCAAATCCTTTTCAATGTTATAACAGTTTACCTTCCAATGACAGGATATTAATATCCCCACTGATCCACATATTCGTCAAATATTTGATACTATCTTCTAGGCTACAAGTTTTGTCGACTGTTAGTGGGTATAAAGAGATGGCTCACTGTGAGTTTTAATTTGCATTTTCCTGTTTAATAATCAGATTAAGCATGTTTTCTGATGCTTTTAGCTATTAATGTTTTCCCTTCTGTGAAACACTTTTTGATTTTACTTTTGGATTGTCTGACTTCTGCCTATTTTTCCATTGAGTTATCTGTTTCTTATTTTCGTATTTCACGAATTGTAATCACAAGATATTAAAAAAAAGAACACTCTCCTCCCAACCCAACAAATCATAAATTTTCCTTTATCCACATTTCTGCCCACACATAATTTTTATACAGCCTCAATATAATTTTAGCGTTGCACTGTTTAATACTGTGTATATGTTCTTCATAATTATAATGTAAGAAGGCTCATTATTATTTCACTGAGTGGATGTCCTATACTTCTCTTGACTTGCCCTGTTACTGGACATTGGGAAGTTTTCAGTGTTTTTGTTGTGCATCTTTGACCAAACAGCCTCTTTTCTTTCTAGGGGGAGATTCTACTTAGAAACACAGGAGTGGGATAATTGGGTCAAAGGAAAAATTCCTATAGTTCTGCCAAATTGTTTCAGTGCCCTAGCACTGTGTTCCAGGGACCCTTAGGGCAAGGTGAGATCATTTTCTCATTGAGTCATATGAATGTTTTATATGTCCTCATACTAATCCTTTGTCAGTTATATGTATGGTAAAAATCTTTGCCAAGTTTGTAGCTTGTTCTTTCACTCGCTTTTGATAAACAGAAATTTTATATTTTAGAAATAGTTCCCTCCCTACAGTCATAAAGACATCTGCCTTTATTTTCTTTTACATAGGATTTTCCCATTTAATTCCTTCATCCATCTTGAATAGATCTGCATGGGGTATAAATTAGGGATCTGTAATGCTACCTCTGTCATTTTTCACATATGAATTTCCATATACAGTTTCTGGACTCTGTTCTGTTTAATTTCTGTATATTATATTTTTGTATAAGAATATAGGAATTAGGAAGGCAAACAGGTCTTGATATCTAGAGAAAGAGTTCTTTTCCAGGGATATCTTGGCTTCTCAGACTAGTACTTCTTTATTTTAGAATTAGTTTGACTAGTTCCTCAAAAATTTCTATTGGAATTTTCATTGGAACTTCACTGAATCTAGAGACTAGTTCAGGGAAAAATGACATCTGTAACTTCAAATTATCCTACATGAACGTGATATTTAGATTTTTTTAAATGTCCTATTATAAAGTTATAGTTTTCTGTATAAATGTTTTGTACATTTTATATAAGGTTCACTGCCAGAAACTATTTTTGTTGCCATTGTAAATGGCATCTTTTCTTAAATTTTGTTTGTTGGTAGCACACTGTTACACAATTAACTTGTATATTATATCTACCCATTTTACTAAACTCTTACTAAATACAAGCTTGTGTCCAAGAATAAGAATCTATTACAAATTCCTTTAAACTATATAGCATTTCATTCTACCTGATTGATACCAATCCTCAGAAATTAAAAATTAAAGAATAAAAACAGACAGAATATACAATCTTCAGAATCTGAAAACAAACTAAAGAATAAGAATACTATAGAAAATATAATCTACTCAAATTATACCTTTATCTTTTCCTTTTCTTATTCTTATACTTCAGAAGGCTGTCTTTGTGGTCATCATAATGAGCAAACTAAAGATAATTTTAAAAAGCAATGCCAGGGTTGAAAGCATGTAGAAATGGGTCATTATGAGTAGGAACAACCAAAACAGAAAATTTTGTAATATATTACATTGTGATTTTTTTCCACAGTCACTTTAAGCCTTTGTCAAAGTAACTTAATCTCACTGCTTTATGCCCTAGAAACCACACAATGACTGTACTACCAGCAAGATTGTTTTTTAATTGATTCCCAGATCCTTTCTTGTTCCTAATGGATCTAAGCAATTATAAAAGGATAACTGAAATAGATATCCAAAAGAAAAGGTACAGACCAAACGAAAGAAAGTATGTGTTTTAATTCATTTTTAAGCCAGACTATATCTGAGTGGAGACTGTAGAGAGGTAAAGAGCAAATGACCTTTAAACAGATTTAATTTGTGGCCTTTGATCATAAACAAGGATTTACTAGTATCGATGACAATGGGTAAAAGGAGACAGACATCTACTCTACAGCCATTAGGCTACAATCAGAGATACATATTGCAATTTCATGATATAAATGGGAAATAGCTGGAATATTAAAAGACAATTTATTCTTATCTATTATCAGGATGAAGCTTTTTTATTTAATGCTTATACTGTCCTCTAAAAAACTCTGACAAAATTATATCTGACTAGTCGAAAATTTGTACCTGTTTGACAGGATATAGGTGTCGCTTATAGGTTTGGTTGTTTTATGCTAAAATATGGCACAGAAAACTTGCTAAATTCTTTCTATAAAAGTATCATAAGATGTTAGGATGTTTTATAAAGGGTTTTAATCTAGTTATAAAAACGTACAATTATGATTTCCACCAAAATGAATCCCTCATATTTCTACAATGTCTGCAAAATTCCATCTCTGATTTCTTTTTATTTTTCCCCTCTTTAATTCCTAACCCCCCACCCCACTTCCACTCCTAACCTAGGGATGTTGCCATCTCCCCTTAAGAGCTGGATCCTGAAGGTGGGGCATCTCCTCCCATGCGCTCGGGGTGCGTACCCAGGGCCTGGCACGCCCACCCCCCGCCCCCGTGCACTTGGGGGGCGTGGCATACCTGGGGGCCCAGTGCACCCAGGGTATGGTCCGTAGCTTCACCTGGGGCGCGAACCCAGGACCTTCTGCGTGTAAAGCAGATGTGCTAACCACTACACTATAGAGCCACCCTCCATCTCTGATTTCTGAACTGTTCCACTACTTCATAAAGAAACCTCACACCCTGCTCAAAATTGTACATAAGCCAATAAGTTGAAAGAACATCAAGGAGATGGACTGTATCATCCTTCCTAGAGAATTTTCACAAAGTGGCAGGATAAATGGAAGGGTGAAAATTTGAATCGTGAAAAGCGGCATAGTCTGCAGTTATAAAGTCAATGCATGACCACAGATAAAAATCAGTGATGTGTGTTATACATAAGAACACTTGCCTTACCAGTTTGCTGTGAAGCATCTACCAGAAGCACAATTTTTGATCGATTATCAGGACCTGCTGCATTTGTCTCTTTCTGAGTAGCTACATTTTTCAACAGTGGCCTTTTGCTTTTTATATGCTGTTGTAAAAGCTGTTGCTGATTTAAGTAAAAAAAAAAAAAGTTAAGATTCTACTCAATGCACTGATTATAAAATACACATCCACTATAAAATACAAATAAATGTATGCTCCAAATTAGTGGCTCTCAATTCATAGGGAAACAGGGTTACTGTATTAGGATTTCATGAAATTATCTGTAGCCAATCATAATCGGTATTATGATTGGCTACAGATAATACCTAAATAAGGTATTAAACACTCATTTATACATTATTTTTCAAATAATCATTAACACTATCGTAATTAATAAAATATGAATTTTCATTGTTACTTGTATTTTTAAATTTCTTAATAATAAATAATAGGAGTAAAATGTCAGAAGGGGATGTAAGTTTTTATTTAAAAGGGTAATAAAAAGGGTGGTAACTTATCCAAAGGCTAAACTATGATAGCAAGGAAGTAAAAAAGAAATTTCTGCTTTAGAGTTTACAAAAGAATATATAAAACATCTAATCCTTTCTTTCATTTTTAAAAAATATAAGCATTCAGCACTTAATAGCAATTTACATAATAAAACTCTGAATTTAACTTCCTAAATTCAAGTGCTGGGAATGCACTCTGAGAATGTTTCTTCAACATCTGAAAGTTATATACTATTATCTTATTTCCAATACTTACTTCTTTTCATTCTCAGAGGTCCCAAAAGGATTTCCCTTGACCAACAGTGTTCCCATGAATGAAGACTAAAAGATTTTCAAAGCAATATCTGCTGCTTGTTTGTATTTGAATTTGTAAAAAGTATACCACAAGACAGCCAAGACTTTCCACTGAAAATCTGGGCTAATGGAATTGAGGAAAGCAGCAACTCCTTGATGATACAGTTGTAACATATACCTAAGAAGTCACTCTGCCTTCTATTAGCTCAAAAGAGCTGAGGAAGCCTATGGTCATGCCACCCTGAACAAGACCAATCCTGTCTGATCTCGGAAGCTAAGCAGGGTCAGGCCTGGTTAGTACTTGGTTGGGAGACTACCTAGGAAGACCAGGTGCCATAGGCGTAAAAAAATAAGAGATTGTAAACTGACAAGGTCCTTGCAATCTGTGAGGTCAACCAAGGGTTGCCTCGCCTAAAAAAAAAAAAAAAAATCCCCAGGATAGAAGCAATGTAGTTGAAGGGATATAATTAATCACAAATGTTCTATTCCATAATATCTCTTGCTGGTTTCAGAAGACTGAAATAGCCGAAAGTGTATTAGCCATTCCACACTGCTAGCACAGGATCCAAACTGACCACTTAGTAATACTGGTGTCACTATGCAATTTTTATCACTAAATTAAAATAATTTGGAAATATTTGTTCATCACATTTATATAAAACTCTCTGAAAGAACCTGAAGATAACTGTAAATCCTACCACCAATTAACAATGAATAAAAAATAGAAAACATTATTTTATAAATGCTATACCCTTAACTATTTTATGATAGTGAACAAATGTTTTATAGTTAAGTTCAGTATTAAAGGCTAATCAATACAAGTAACAAAGTACTGATGCTATTACTAACAAAAGAAACATCAAACATAAAAGCCAACCAAAACCAGTCACTTACTTTTGGTACCACTGGTCCCCTGTTACTATTTCTGCTTCGATGACTGGACAATGGGAAAACCTGTCCGAGCTGATTTGGACGCTCAGTGCATTCTGTGGTTATAGTATTTACAGTATTTGCAGCCTGAAAAGTGTTGGAGTAAGGTGTAGGAAAAGGATGATAGAAGCCCATCACTTGGGCACATGGTGCTGGCATCAGCTGATAATATGCATACTCTGTAGAAACAGGTGGCTGAGCAGATATAATGGGGTAGGCAAGGTATGGTCCAGCAGGATTTGGATTAGGCTGTTGCCATCGTATATCACTGCTATATAATGGAAACTGTCTGTAAAACCAAATTAAAAAAGAACAAATCCATTGACAATTCTGAAAGTAATGCCAAAGCAAAATCTCTTCTCATTTTAAAAAAAGAAAAAACACTACAGAACAGTAGCTTTGCAATAATTCTGGAAAAGGAGATAAAATTATCATCTTATAAATTTCTTTGCCAAAGAATTATTATGTACATGTAATAATAATTTAAATGACAGTATAAAGGAATTCAACCTGATAGTTTTACTCCATTCCAAAAATTTTAAAGTACACATCATTCTTATTTGTAACTCTCTCCTAACAGTTAAACACCTAGCTGCTGGATCTGTAAACAGTCCAAAGTTCCCATCCAATGCTAATAACTATGACAGCCTTCTGCAAAGAGCAGGGTGAGGTGATCATTGTGTAAGGTGATCATTAGAATAAGTGATCTGATTCCTCCACCTCTCATTCTTCAGTTCAGTCCCAGGGCCTCCTACTCCTCTCTCATATTCCCCTAACCCCTTGGACAAGTCCAGCTCCTTTCTTGGCTCCCCCTCCTTGGCAATGGAAGCAGGCTCCAGGTCGAAGGGAAAGAAGAGAGGAAAAAGGCAAGCCTGTCCACTGCCATCTTATTCTTAGCATTAGAGCTTCTTCTAGTGCAGTTTCTATAAAGCACCAGTCCTCCTGTCTCAGCAGTCTTCTTCACAGGTCATTGTTGACGAATGAGAAGTAATAGGGAACTGAAGCACAGAACTTTTTCTCACTACTCCCATGACAAAGCAAAAAAGAAAAATGTTCACTGTCATAATTCTAAAAAGATTTTGAAATAATTTGCTGGTTAGCTTACTCATGAATTCTCAAAAGATTATTTGGTAAGCTAAGAAAAATTGAATTTACCATACTATACACCTGGTCATTTTGTCAAATACGAAAATAGTATTATTAAAGTTAGTTGACAAATCACTTTGAACATAATCCATATAGGTCAAAGATTTTTAATATAATGTAAAAGAGAAGGATCCCTAAACTTCTACTATTTGTCCAGTTCTTCTGGGCTTCAGATTATTAACATGAATATTTAATTTCTGAGATAGTTGTTTAGTAGTCTCATACCTCATCCATCCAGAATTTCTCAAAGAATGTGCCTTGGCACACTAGTAATGCCACAATGGGTTATAGATATGTAGAAATACTGATTGCTTTAGCCCTAAGGGGTTATAGGGCAGAGGCTAGGGCCCAGCTGCCTCATCCATTTATTCCGCAGTGCTAAAGTACAACTTTCTGTGTGTGATATAATTTGAAAGAGTCTAAAATTATTTTTATATAGCAATAAAATGAACTACATCAATGAAGTGTTAATCATTCAATCTTAGCAGAGATATAAAGGCTATCGTGACTATCACAAGTTACACCCTAGCAGTTACTAGGTCAAATGTTAACTGAATTGCAAGCATTTTGCTAAATCACCCTGTGACTATAGCACAGAAGCTAAATTTAAACTACAATCAGTGTCTAGAGTATCTGCTAACTAACCATAAAAGCTTCAAAGTTAAGGACGCCCCCTTGGTATTTTTTTTCTCAAGTCAGCCTCTCTTGGTAGTTATGACTAGATGCCTAACCGCAAAAAAAGGATTTCTGTTTACTGCTTTCTGAGAATTCATTCCTCCATTTAAGTCAATTTATTTGAAACAAATTTCAATTACTTATTATAAGAGATATATCCAACGAACTCCATATCCTCTCAGAAAGAATGAGAAAATAATCCATGTTAATAATCTTCAAAATCCCACATTTGGTTTTATTTACTCCTCTTAAAAAGAAAAATGGTTAATGTTTAAAAGTTACAAAAGGAAAAAATTTAGTGTGCCTTGCCAACTTCTGTATTTCCTTAACCCCTCCTCCCCCTAAAAACAGTAATAAACAAATTACCTATTAGACTGGTTTTCCTGCACAAATGGATAACAAGTAATCAAGTAGCTGGGAATTGGAGTTGGTTCTACACCAGAAACATTTCCATTATCATTTGGGAGTGCCATAGGGATCATAAATGCATCCGGATTCTTCTTTTGGGGAATAAATGGCTCTACCTCAGCAGATAGCTTGACATTCTTCAAAGAGAAAGTGAAACACATTATTACAAAGGAGCAAAAAACTTAAATAATGTAAGTTCACACTTTAACAATAAAAGACTCAGTTTTTACAAATAGTAATTAGGTCTCTCCTTAGTATTCACAAAACATCCAAACAGCAATGGCAAACTAAAATAATCAATTATGATTAAGTTATTAAGACAAAGCCCTTAAATAAAATAGGGAATAACTTATCTAAGGTTACTACATTTCAATGAAACATCTCTTATGTAATCGAAGCTGTTAAAACAATCAGGAGTACAAGGAAATCATACCTCAGAGTCCAAAAATAAAGCTGGTAGTAAGAAATCTAGTTCTTAAGACACAATGTGTTTTTAACTAATTTTGTTAGGGGGAAAAAATCATTCAACAGTTCTGAAGGATAATTATATTTGAATAGCTAAAAAAAAAAAAATAGTCTTTCTGCCTATTTCAGGATATTAGATTAGTATGGTTAAATTAAAAAGAAGGAAAATGTCTAAGATAAATTTAAAAAACAACATAAAAAGGTGAAGAAACTTCTCATTCACAATTAAACTGACAAAAAAAATGAGTACTTCAGTTTCCCAGTAGACAAGCTGAGCAAACTAATCTAGACGATGTACTCCATTTTAGCCTATTTTGTATCTTTTCTTATAATAAATCTATAGAGATTTAAAAGACATATTAAAAATACTAAACTAGTTAAGGATACACAAGTGAGTGACAAAACTATAAAGAAAATAAGATCCATAAAAGTCAAGATAGGAATTACTCTTAGGGAAGAGGGAGTTGTGATTTGGAGGGGACACCTGGAGAGCTTCTGGTGTGCATGGCAAAATTCTGTATCCTAGCTTTGATGATACCTACAAGGTATTCACCTTATAATAATTCATTTAGTTGTACATTGGTTTCATGCAGTTTTTTTCTGTATTTATTTAACAACAAATTTTTAAAATTTAATTATAAAAAGAATAAACCTATAGGCACATTCTGAAAATGTTAAAAACCAAATAAATGTTACAATATCAAAAGATACTAAATACTTCTTTATAAAACCAGTTAAGTGAAATGCAATCCAATGTTTCGACCACTCAAAGCAACAATCCTAACCAGAACTTTTACCCAACAAACACACCAGAGTGGAATTAATTAGGAGTTCTTACCAAAGCACAGTTCTCAGAATAAATTTTAGGCATGTTTCTCACAAAAGTAATCGTAACAAATCCAAGAAAATCTAAAGAGGAAACCTGACGTGCTCAATGTGTAGCCTTATTCAGAAAAAGATTCCAGTGTAAATATTCAGATATGCTTATAAAAAGGGAGGGACAAGAAATTTGAACCATATATCAGTATTAATTCAATATCCTTCCTTCCTATGTGATTTACCTTTGAAATCTCTTTTTGTGCTATTAACCAAATCTGAAATAGATCTAGTAACTGCACTTAAAAACATCTGTGAACTAAACCTGGTTTCTTGAATTTCAACACAGGGGGCAAAAACTCTTTCAAATGCTAACAGAATAAATCAGGAATTTCCACTGTGGTAATCATTATAACTAAAATCTTATTTATTTATAAAGTATAAAATAGCAACTTAATGTTTCTCCGATTAGAAGGAAAAAAAAAAAACCCTGATTTTCAATAATAATGGAAACTTAGTTTATATAGTTCATACATATACATAACAAAAAGGAAAAATTAAATCACATTTTTATAAATAAGAGAATTTAAAAATAACACTTTTCCTGACACACACCCCACCCCAAATAATACCAACTTATAAACTGCTTTAGTAACAACAAAATCAAATTCTTGCTCAAGTCAAAAGCTGCAACAAGTTATCTAGTTTCATCTGTACTTTTTAAAAGTTTTATGAACTTAGGCAAGCCACTGTTCAAAAACCATCACCCATAATTTATAATTAATGTCTGCACATATACATAGTACATATCCTTAAATATTAAAGTTTATACTGGTTTCTATTCAAAGTGCAATTCTAGGTATCTGAGTTCAACAATAAAATTCACAAACACTGAAATGATCCTTTGTGTTTAGCAAAAAAGAGAAGCTGCTATCGTCAACAGCTGTACAAACAGAAGATGTCACTAGTAGGAACACACTGGCAACTTTCTCCTATAGTTACAACTCTGTATGGTTTTTAAAGCTGTTTATTGTGACTTTGAGGACTTCAGTTCTGTACATCTAAATGCAGCATCTGTTGTTCTCAGGCCTGAAAGGTAATGTTAAGATCCCAAATTATTCTTGATATTCGCATAATAAAGCTCATACACATAATATGTTGGGTAAGCAACACATTCTAGCAATATTTCAATTATATTAGTAGAGAAATCAAAGAAAAATGTCTTATGTAGTAGAGAACAAAATGTTATGAAAAAATTAGACCCGTTTCTTCATATGATAATATTCTTCAGTTTTAACTTCTGTCTTCAGTGTCTCTACCTTTGCCAAGATATACTTTTCAGAAATCAGAAATTTTATAGCAAGGAGCTGTCTCTTTAAAGAAACTATAAATATAGAATAAGTCTAAACTACAAAGAAGTTCCTGTACTATTTGCTTAAAAAAAAAAAACTACGTAGTAAAATTATCGTTATATTTCAGAAATTATTTCAGAATTTTCCAAATTAATGAACCATCATAATCCCAGAAACCTGTATTTGAAAAAGTTACGCATTTTAAATTTTGCATATATTAAAACAAATGTGAACACTTCTTTGATGTGAATAATCTAGAAAACACAATTTATTCAAACATGAAAATAAAATTCTCATTTAAAATAGTTTATTAAACAAATGTATTCAGATCAGCGAGAGCCTATGCAATTCAATAAATATGTGTTAAGTACATCTTCTGGAAAGAGCACAGTACAGACAGGTTTAGAGAAAACGGGCAAAC